CGCGTGCAGTACCTCAATATTGTTGACCCGATCAACGTGCATGATAGTCTAAGCCACGGCCTACCTGACTGCAGCATCGGCAGCAACAGAACTTCGCTATCCAAAATTCGCCCGTTAAAGGGTTAAGCGAACTCTTAATTTTTCCTGGTTCAGACATGGTATCAGATTTCCTGCGAGCCCCAGAATCAATGTTTCTTTGGATGTGGTAATTCCGAAAATAATGGAAACGTAAGTAACCGACCGCACTGAATCTCATGGTAACATTTATGTTTCAATAAACTTTCAAAAACCTGTTACAAACTTATATTGGGTTAAATAACCCATTTTTGTCTATTTTTATTTTGAGTAAAATTAAAAAATTCATACACCAGATAAGATCCATCTAAATGTCAGCTTATGAAGCTGTACTCTATCTTCCTTGGTCAATATTATGCAGTTGAATAAACATTCTAAAAATCAACAGAAAATACTTTGGTTTTTGAAACGGTTTCCTAGAAATCTTCCGAAGCATAAGAGTGATTTTTACTATTCGCAAGTAAACTATTGATTTAAACTTTATTTATTTAAGTGAGTTCAATCGTATAAAAATACATTATAGCTCTCACTAGAAAGAAAATAGAGAAAAAAGAAAAGAAAAAAGAAATACAGAAAAAAGGGGAAAGAAGAAGAAAAAAAATATCGATATAAAAATCAGAAAAAGGTTTTTGAATTTTTTGTACGAGGAACAACTTAAAAATGACCGAATCAATAGGCCGAAATATCGAATTGTAATTTTAATTATTGATTTTAGTTTTAACTTTTTATTTTTATTAAAACTTTTATTAAAATTCTTATCATGATAGCCACAATTATTCATAAATTCATGTTTTTAACTTTGCCCATGAACTCAAATAATGTTACTGGTTTAATAGTTTGTTTATCTAATTCTTCCTCAATATAAGCTTCTTTTGCTTCAGCATGTGTTGTTTTATTATTTGTTACGTTGGACGTTTCTTTCTCTCGATTTTCGTCCGTCGGTCTCTTTCGTTTGTGTATTTTGACTTTCTTATCCCCTAAAATATATTATGACGCTGTTAGATAAATTCAGTATCTACATCTACCACTAAACCATTCATAAGGAATTTTCGATACAGTATCTGCACAGTATCTGTCCACAACGGCTATTTACGAATTCAAGCTTTTCATCTTTACTTAAAGATGATAAAGCTTCTTGATTTGGAATGAGGACGGTACCGAACCTAGCCGGATCTTGTAAAATTACTCAAACAGGCGGTTGACTTTATCCTAGTTTTCCGCATGTAAAATCAGACTAAAACTAAGGCGGACCAACCCTATTATAGTTGCTCAGAGTACAGACTTGTCCAATTACGGAATGAGGTATAAAAATACTCTTTAAAAGCTGTGATATTTACCAGTTTCACTTTGTACTTTCTCATTTTAAATATGCCTACACTTACCGATAGTACATAAAAATTCCCAATCACCTTGCAAGTTAATCGACCACCACATAATGGTTTGCCCACATTCCTCTTAGTTGTACTTTTGATACCAAAATGCAACTGTACCACGCAAACATCGTCCAAAACTGGGATATGATTTATATATAATTTTTAATAGCGTGAACTTTTTCTTTGCTATGTAATTAACTGATTTGAGTAGATCGCTTCTCTGAATCATACTAACAGCTCGAAAGACCAAGTTGAATCTGTAAATGACGTGTAAAAAAAGGGCTCATCTTTATTTTATATAATATCTACATGTTTTCAATAATGAAAACAGCAGGTACCTGATTGGCATCGATTATCTTTGCTAGTTATTCTCATTTGACAATACTTACGTAAAGGCGTTGGAATAGATCGTCTTGAATCCAGTTCACCTCCTTGATCACATGGATAAAGTGTTGGGTAGGTCATTTCCTGAAAGAATTCGTTAATTTCCCAGGTCGGTGATGAATCAACATCTAGCGTTCTCTCTAGACCACTATTTATCACATCTGTAGGAATTGGTGGATCAGTGTTCATATAAGTGTAGGAATCGATAACACGTATAGGGATAACCTTTTCCTTTTGACACTTAAACATTTCCATTATTTTTTCTTTATTTAAAATAATTATGTCACGGTATACATGGTTCCACTAGTATTGCGGTGAAAAATAAAACGAGGTTATTTATCGTACCAGGAAGATCTTTTGTTCTTCTTTGCAGGCTGTTAGTAATGCAGTGCGTGACGTTGAGTGGTAACGATCGATGGCTGCAAGACACAATGCTATAATCGGGAGGATATAGCAAGTATCACCGAGATAATTCGTACATACATGTCTTAAGTACAACGGATTCTATCGTTTACGAGCTACGTGCACGACAGATTCGTATCTGTCTTTTCTTTAACAGCAGTTTCTTCACATTTTGTCGATAGGTTGACGACGACAGATAATAAACATAGAAAGTACTCCACATAAACGTACAGCTGATAACATAGGTCACTGCTGTAAACAGGCCTTCAACTGCTAAACTCACATTACTTTTCACGTAGTTCGCTGTTACTGTTGAATAAATAAATTTTATACAGACGGGAATAGTAGAAACACAGAAGCATATTATTTGTAAGATTATCATTGTCGAAAGTTGTCCGTCGATACGTTGTCTGGTGATGATTGTTTTCTTCTCCTTTTGATGTTGACCTACAGTAACGTGACTATTGGTATTGTTCGGTGCTACAGCGAAAGCACCTACAGCAGTGTTCGAAGCGTCCATTATCGTCGCAGTTGGGTTAACATGTCGAAGACTTTTCACATTTCGATAGGTGAGCACACCGAATACTGTCAGCAGACTAATGGGAACAAATGTGGCAACAACTGCACTAAGGAAGTATGTAAGATACGAATAGTAGACTGGAGAGACAACGATGCACACTGGTTCACCAAAACTACTGTCGATGTACCAGTAAAGTAAGTCGGGAACTACTAGCAGCAGAGATACAACGATTGCAATTAAAATCGAAATGTTTGCCACCTTCGTTGAACTCCATTGTCGTCGTAATGCAGTGCGTGACGTGGAGTGGTAACGATCGATGGCA